ATAGAAGAGGATTGAGGAAAGATCCCACAAAGGGAACAGAAAAAGGCCACAAAGGGCTTGAAAGGAAACTAGCTTTTTACTCGGCCTGTTGGCCGGTGAGTTTAATTTTACCGTTTACATTAATAAATTTATCTATATGTTTAAACTATTTTGGATCTTCTAAAATTTTTACATTTGCATTCCTTGGTGAGTATGCGGTGCGTCTATAAATTAAAAATTCTCAATACTTAACACATTCACTTATAATGCTTCGATTGACTGATCATAAATCATGTCACAATCACGTCCCATATAGAATCTTATGTCAAGATTTGTCAATAACGATACTCAATTTTTTTCTTATACGATATATGCCATTCAATGAATGTCGAGTTTGGAGGAACTCTCAACCAATGATGTTGCTCAGATGACGACAACTTAATATGTACCAAGACTCTCAATATTACATAGATTTGGTCATCCCAATTGAAATTTTACTGTCTTAGTGTAAGATCATATTTGTCTATCAAGACACTCAATTTAATATCTTATACAATATGTACCAATTGTTAATTCCTGAAGTTTAATATAGACTCACCCTCAACTCATGGTCGTTGTTTAAATGTTGGTTTAGAATCTCGGTCCAAGATACTCACACACTGTCAAGGGTTCTAATCTTAACATGGTCCATTGTTGTATAATTTTCTAACATATCAAATATGCATTTGCTAAAATTTATTTATCTTTGGTGTTTTTTTTAGATAAAAAATCCACTACTTATACTAATATCTTCATTTTGTTGGTGTAATGCCACATCTATTGTCAATATCTAAGCATGATCTTATACTCTAAGTAAGAAAATGCTATTTGGACCACGAATTAACCGGATTTGCGGGCATGATACTATACCCAAACTCTTGATGAGTGAACCCTAGGTCTTAGTTATCTTAATCATAGAGCTTAACCCCTAAGATTGTGCATGTAATTTGTTTCATAGATTTTAACGAATTATGACCATTGATTTTTGTTTATAATTAAACTCTTTATATATAGAGAGAGTTTAATGTATTTTTAAGTGTAATTAACACCTTTGTTTGACCGAAATATGTAAACTGTTAAGAAAAATAAGGGGAAGTATGAACAAATGTTAGAGAAAATAAGGTATGGAAGCATGCATTATAAGAGAGAAGAAACATTGTCTTTCTTTATCGTCTTCATTTGTACAATCAGGTACTATATTATGGCTTCGTCAGGTTTCTATCAGAATGAAAAACAACTTTTGAAGCATTTTGCTATTTACTACTTGTTTTCGTTGATAGATACAAACATTAGAAAAAGATAGCGTTTGATAACCAAAACATAAAATTATATAGTTGGTTTTTCAAATTCAATTGATTATTAAATGTTGATTATCTAAAATTCCTTCATTATATTTTTTTAATTTTTTTTATTATTTATCTGTGTGTTTAATTTATTTTTTATCGAAACATAACATATATTAAGTTCTAATAAAAAGAAAAGAAAAATTAATAGATCAGATTTAATCAAATATTTTTTTTGAAGCATTACAATATATGTCACTCTCCAAACATAAGTATACTACTGCTACACATATATATTGGAAAATACAATTATTGAATAAAAAAAGAAAACATTAAAAGAAGATAGAGATAGCTACATAAATGATCATTAAAATAAAAAGAAAATATTAAAAAAAGATAGATAGCTCTACATTAATTGATCATTAACTAACTTTTTTGTTTGTAAAAAAATTGTCCACCATGGCACCTTGTAAATTCTCCAAATGCTTATGTGGCAACAAAATACTTTTGGTTTGCTATAATATTATGTATAGAAGATAGATAGATGAGGGAGAGAACCCACAACAAAAATGGAATAGAGCATGAAAGTAAACGGAAATGGAGACTTGGGCCACCCTCGAATACCTAGAGGTGCCGACAACAACCCTGAAGAAGGGAAAGGGAATTTGAATTAGAGAGAGAAAAGGCTTGTAACCGTTACAGTTCAGCAGGGTGCAAGTCGTTGAGTTTTAATTTTTATTATTCTATCTTCAGGTATTTATGGGTAGATTGGGTACCCGTTAACCCATATGAGTTGGGGACATGAAATGAATTTTCCACTCCAAGTGTGAAAGGTACCTATTTTAAAAGGGCGGATGGGTACCTGTTTTAAACGGGACGGATAGCAGTTCCCATCCCGGAGTTAATTGCACCGCATACCACCTAAGTATTGGTTTTGTTGCATACTAACCACTTAAGTTCTTTTAGTTGTAACTAAACCACATAGGTCGACTTCTGGTTGCACCGTTATATTTTCCATCCTTAGACTCAACGACATGTATCAAATTGAAATTTTATGTATATACACAATTCCATTTCCCCTCACAATCTTTTATCTTCATTTCGGTATTGCTAGTGCTCTCTTTAATTATCTTATGCTCTCTTTTATTGTTTTCGTCAAAATTTACAATTTTTTAATTAATTGTTTTAGGTCTAATCGAATTAAATATTGACTTCATTCCAAAAAGTAAACTTTTTAAACTTATGTGGAATTCCTTATTCTATTTTTTTTATAACATGTTTTGCATAATTGGCACCTCGGTATAAGCTTTTCTTTTGGGACAATTTTTTTAGGTGCAATTCTTATAGATTGTTTAAATTTATGTATTATAAATGAATTTGTACATATTATTGTTGCATAATTATTTCAATGAATATTTGAGTTGAACGAAGTTCCAGCAAAAAAAGTCTTTCTTTAGCTAAGTTCTGCACACCTGAACTTCAGGTGACGATCAAATAAAAACTAAAGAAGCATATTGAGATTAAATACAAGTGGATGCTTTAAACTGAACGAGTGAAGAAGAATTAAGAAAAAGTCTTATGAAATAAAATCGAGCGACAAAAAGAGTAAAGTAGTGAGGGAATTTCAGGTGAAGTTTTATCATAGCTTTGTTACTAGTATTCTACTAAAGAAAAACTTCCAGAGCGAAACTCAGTTTTTCGACCAAAGTTTGCAGACGAAGTCCCTATTGCCAACTTTATAAATAATTTTACAAGAGGATCGACAACCACAGAGCAAGAGAAGAATTTCAAAGGGCTATTGCGATCGGGTTTATTCAACCTTCATTTTTATAAAAAAATTTATTTATTTTGTGAAGAGGAAGAAAGTGAAAGAAAATGGTGTGGTGTAAATTAAGTTGGAAAACTTCAATTTGATACTCACCGTTAAGTTCAAGGAAGTAAAATATAACGGTGCAATCGAAAGTCGACTTATTTGGTTTAATTGCAACTAAGGGGTCGTTTGGAAGTTGCGATTGTTAAATAGATGTATTGTTGAGAATGCATGTATAATATTATACATGTATTGTCGAATTTGATGTATTATAGAATACAACGTTTGGTATGTGTGATTGTGTATGTCGCATCAGCTAAAAGCTGAGACAAAACAATCTCAACTCAACTATCTCAACAATCACAACTAAAAGTTGAGATATAACAATCACTCAAAATGAGTGATAGTTTCTGTCATATCACAGAAACAATCCATGTATTGTTTCTGCTAAAAAAACAAAAAAATGATGCATTGTAAACAATATATGCATAATGACAATCTCAACAAAACTATCGCAACTTCCAAACGACAAAAAAATTTAACTGATTAAAATACAGCGAAACCAGGTATCCTGTTCAATTAACCCTCCTCCCATCCCGTTGCCTAGGGAAAATGGAGTGATGAATCCCCGTTATATATACTAGTTTGGTACCCGGTCCGTTGGCCGGGTAAATTTTGTTTGAAATATGTACTTTGGTAATTTTTTCCTCCTAAGGTGGCTATTTTGTTCAGTTTGTCATTGTCCTCTCTCATTCGAATTGTGTATACCTTTGAGTCCGACCAATTGGCTGCTAAATGATTTTTTTAAAGGTAAATTAGTTTGTACAGCATGACAATAGTTTAGCACCCATGAAATTGTTGTGCATTATTATTATGATATTACAAAATTAAACATTGATATAATTTAGTAACTCAGTAGAATAAGAAATTTGTTCTGCGATCTATGTTAGTATATACTTTATGGCGGTACAATCGAATGATATTGATAAAGTTTCGCAACTATCAAATAGGAACATGCCTTGTAAATATATGATTGTGGCTATGTTTTAAAAAAAAACATATATCAAAATGGGTATCCTTGTGTAGATCACATAAATTCTAATTTTTTCGCGCAATAATATTTAAATTCGGAGTTGAAGCAAAATAAATATGGATCAATTAAGAATAGTAGGGGAGATTTAAAAAGAAGAGAGAGAAAGAGAGTTAAGTGGCTAATTGAGGTATAGAAAAACTTAAAAGAAAAAAAAGGAGTTAAGAAAAAATTTGATTGGTCGGAAGGATGCTACGTAGATGCGTAGGAGCCCTGGAACTTTGATATAATAGAAGATAGATAGAAGAAAGATTTTTAGATTTGATTAAAGGGTTAATATTTTCGTATGGCCTGAACTTTGACCAAAATAAACATCCTGACCAATCTTTTCGATCTATAACATCCTGGCCCGAACTATACACCAAAATAAACAATTTGGCCAAACCCGATGTTTGACCGTTAACTTGGACGGTCAAACGCGTTGACTAACGGTCAACGCGCCACGTCACTACCAAGTCAGAAGTTCTGATAAATATTAATTTTTTTTTATTTTTTTATTTTTGGTTTAACTAAGGTATTAGATGATTTTTTTAATTTATAATAATTTAAAATTAGGGAATGTGTGGAAATTGTGAATTATTTTAAATATTTTATGCTGACTTGGTAGTGACATGGCGCGTTGACTAACGGTCAACGCGTTTGACCGTCCAAGTTAACAGTCAAAAGTTGAATTTGGCCAAATTGTTTATTTTGGTGTATAGTTCGGACCAGGATGTTATAGATCGAAAAGATTGGTCAGGATATTTATTTTGGTCAAAGTTCAGGCCATACGAAAATATTAACCCTTGATTAAATTAGACTAAAAAGCACACAAAAAATTAATCACTTCGTCGACGACAATTGAATCCGAATCCTTCCTCAACAGAAGCCCTAATTTCTCTATAGCTGACAAAACCCTCCTCTGCTTTTGACGACATCGATCGGCACATCGCATTCCTCCTCTTCATCGCCTGTACGACTGCTAGCATCTGGTCGTCCTTAACCTTCTCACGACACCTTCTCATCTACTGCAGATTCATTTCCCACTGCTCAGCCGGAACATCACTGCTCCGCTCGTCATTACTTACCACGCAAGCTCTAGATTAGACAACAGCTTCTCCACCTTGTCACCACCGCGCCGGCTCCAAAATCCTCACGGCTCCAGCGTCTAGACCAGACCACCACTACTCTGCCTCTGTTGTCACACTTCTGGTCTATAGCGCCTGCGGCTTGCTGATTATTTATGTAGCTGTAAGTTTTTCTTTTTGTTGCTTAGGTCGTTAGGTTGGCGAGGCTTGCTGATTATTTCTCTAGCTGTAAGTTCTCTTATCCCGTTGCTCAGTCAGTTAGGTAGGTTGTCGAGTTCTTTAGTTTTTGATGAAGTAATTCTGATAGAATAGAGATTTGGAGTTGCTAGTGGCGAATGGTGATTTGATATTATAGTTGAACTTAGTTATTTTTACTTAACTACAACAGAATATTTGATAGATTTGAGATTTCAACTGAATTTAGTTACTTGTACTGGATATTTGGGTTTGATTTGATGATGAACTGTGTTTTAGTTGGTGATTTGGTATGCAGTTGATATGAAATTGATGATAAAGTTTGAATTAATAGGTATTTGGCTTCCCAAGTATGTCTAGGCTCTAGCAGCGGTATACAATGAATGCTTCATCAAGTTCTAACAGTAAAATGGAAAACAAATATAGCTGGGAATCGTGTTGATCATGGGGTGGAATATGCTATAGATGTTAAACTTAAACTCGTTTGTGAGAATTTGGATTCTTAAACTCGTTTATGAGTTATGATCTATGCTAGAGTGTTATATTCAGATTCTGGGCCTCACTTTTACTTTCTACAGGGTGCTTGTTAATTTGCTGGGATCGCTTGTTCTGTCTAAAAAGATGGTCTCTCTCTCCCTCTCTCTCTCTCTCTCTCTCTCTCTCTCTCTCTCTCTCTCTCTCTGTTTCTCTCTTGTACTTAGTGTATGTTTAGCCATGGGAATTCATTGTCCGAGCCCGAAAGGAAAAGGAAATAAGCTGTTGCCAATATCTGTTTGGCTCAACGTGTGCATTATTTCCTTGATCCTGCAACAGAAGTGGGGATTGAAAAAGATTGCTGTTTGATTGAGCACTTCTACTATGCTATATAGTATTGGTGTTTTAATGTACAACTCAAACTTGTACCATAACATTAAATGTATAAGTTTAGGTTGTACCATAAAGCAATTTGTATCATTATGTTATGGTACAATTTTACATCTTGAAGTTGTACCATCACATAAAGGTACAAGTTCAAGTTGTACCATAAAAGAATTTGTACAAAAAGTATAGGTACAATATGAAGTTGTACCATAACGTAAATGTACAATTTTAAGTTGTACCATAAAGGCAAAAACCTATAGCACCAATACTATATAGCATTGTAAAATTTCTCCTGTTTGATTTTGTTACTTTCTGTTTTCTGCTCTACGTCCATTGTTCAGGATAGGAAACCGTGTCCCTCTAGTAGGATACTAGTTTGCTTTGTGGGTAAGACGATCTAATGGTTCACTCTCTGTTGCAGCTTCCTCTTTCGCTATTGAAGACGGCACAAGGCCATCCCATGGTAGGGTGCCTCCCACCTTTTTGGATTTCAGCATTCTTGCTGGATTTTCTTGTTTGTTGGGTTTTGTTACCGTTTTCATTCTTTACTGCAGGTTGTAATTCATGTTGGTTTATGATGTCACAGTTGGTTGAGCTTAAAAATGGGGAAACTTACAATGGACATTTGGTCAACTGTGATACTTGGATGAACATCCATCTTCGAGAAGTTATCTGCACCTCTAAGGTATCTCTCTTTGCTCTTAGTGTGAAAGGTTGCGTGCTCCAGAAGGTCTGGAATTAGTGTCATGCTTCTATCTTCTAATTTTGTTTTCCAGGATGGAGACAGGTTTTGGCGTATGCCTGAATGCTACATACGTGGAAATACCATCAAGTATCTCCGGGTTCCTGATGAGGTATTATATGACTAATTTTTCTCCATAATTGGCAGTTGAGGATGTTGCTAATCTATTTGTTCACATATTGTCAAACTAGTGCTCTTCCTCTAGGTGGCTTTCAGGATGGTGTTATTTTCTGAATGTGCCTTTTTCTCTGGATTAGTTGCAATGGTTCATTCTGATAAATTATCTGTTTAGCTTAACTTTATTCAAGTAAAATGAAATTCCTGATAGATTATTTCTGGTCCTTGATACTTGATTATCAATTTGATTCTTACACGCAAGGTGCTGACATGAAACTCAAAATTAAAATCGGAAATCCTAGCTATCTTCAGGAATGTAAATCTAATGGTGTAACTTGCTGCGAAGAAATTGAGGTGTATGGCTGTGATATTTTAAACTTCAGAAATTGGAAGTTCAAATCCTTTTGCTTCTTCCCAAATATAGATCTATTAGTACTATTGAATGGAGACTTTTTTCCCCTGATAAGTGACTGAACTTTTTGAGGCGCATGGAATATAGCCGAAAGGAAGTCTGTGCCGTTTTCTTTTGAGTTTGTCATCTTTGTTTCATGTGTATTGAATAATTATATGATTGAGGATTACTACTGCCAGATATTGCTAGCGTTTCGCTGCCATGTATTTGAGATGAGCTTTGCCATGTGTTTGCAATTTAAAATAGCTAATGTAAATCTGTGGCCACTTTTGCTCTCATGACGCTTGCTTTTTTATTATTTTCCAGGTCATTGATAAAGTTCAGGAAGAAACAAAAACCCGCTCAGGTATGATTGCACTTAGATAAGCTGTGTGAGCATTATTCAACCAAACTTGTAATGATGTCGACATAGGTTCTGATGCTTCTTTTGAAAAAGAGGTTCCTGAAGTGCTATTGTTCGAAATAGGTAGTGGTTTGATTCGGACATATCACATATATGATCTCTGTTGAATGCACATGACCCTTACATATCTCTCACCCCACCGAGGGAACAATTTGCTACATACTTTTGTGCTGAGTGCTGAATTCGGTATGCTGCATACACTGCTTGTCTAGAAAGCACTTTCTGGTGGTTTTCCTAATCGGCTGAATTTGCTAATCAGATCGAAAGCCGCCTGGAGTTGGACGTGGTAGAGGGAGGGGTCGAGAAGATGGTGCCGGCGGAAGGGCTCCAAAGGGTGTTGGCCGTGGGCTCGATGATGGGGGTGCCAAGGGTCTGGGTGGAGGGCGTGGAAAAGGTGGTCCTGGTGGGAAGCCTGGCGGAAGCAGAGGTAACAAAACTTATGGCACCTGTTAGGTAGTAAAGATTTGTTTACCCTATGGAAATTAATTCGGTGCGCCATTGCTGTTCTGGCAGGTCCAGTTAGAGGACGTGGTTGATCCGTTGAAACGATGGCTAAACGCCCAGGGGGGAGGGGCTAGCTTGCTTGCTTGCTACTTTTTCGAAGCATTTGGCAACCTGCCTGCACTGTCAATCCGTCAAGAGTTCTTTTGGTAGAATGCTATACAATGATGCATGTTGTGATTTTCTCGTGTTTCTTCTCTTTTGTAATTTAAGGGTCTCCACCAACCAAGTCTCAATGTTCCGCTTAGGGAAAACACGACCAAGCCTAATGTGGTTCGTATCCAATTGCCAACCCTAACCCATGGGTTTATTTTGGTCAATTCTCCAATCGATTGTTTGGATGTCGCAACTCTTCCCTCTTTTGTCCCTGAAATTTAGTCATCCTTATATGCTCCTTCATCCTACATTGCATTGTTGTCCATAATAACACCCTGACCACAGTCCCATTTTTGGTCTCACACAAGTAGGAATTTAGGATTCCAATTCAAATGAATGCAAATTGGCAACTTCTCAATCTAACTTAATTTGATCATACAACTTCATTTCATGCAATCAAGCATTAAGGACAACATTTTAGCTATATGACAAAGAGAATTGCAACAAGTAGTCAACATATCATAGCTTTGGATGAAAACTCCCAAGTTCAAACATGAAATTTCATAAATCATGCGCAAAAATTGAAATGGACAAAAAAAAATCGATGATTCGAACTCCTAATCCAATCAAAGAGTGATAGGTACTGACCTAGTAGCCTTTAAACATGAAGAAACAAAGAGAATACACAAAAAAGAGCTAGAGAGTTGCGTTCGCATGAATTTCAACCACGTTTCTATGGAGGACAGTGAGGGGAAGTTTTGGTTAGATTTGTGGGTTCTTATTTTGGGACTTGGAGGTGGATTGAGTGAGCAAAAGGGAGAGGAAATGGAGAGGAGGGCGAAATCTCTTTCTTAGAGAGCGGGAGAACAAGTGGAAATGATGACAAAATTGGTCACTTCTTTTTCTACGGCAGGGTTGACCCCTCTAGTGGTGGTCATCCGTGGGAACCGGACGCGGTTTGTCTTTATGTAACCCAATTTGTGGGTTTGGGCCCAACGCTCTCGCATTAGAGCCTCAAAACGTGGACCCGAAGGAAAGCGCCCGAAATTCGCGAACTTATTTTTATGGGAGCGCGAATTTTCTGCGAAAGTGCGTGATTTGGAAAAGAATTATCAATCTTCTTCTTTGTGTGGCTTTCATCGGCGAAGTGTAGAAATTGCTCTTACTCGGTCATCTCATGGTAGTAACTAGTAAGAAACAAAATCCTCTTGTGTTTCAAAGTTGAAAGTGGCAAACAATATCAAATGAAGGGAGCAAAAATCCTCTTGTCAAAAAGATATAGAGATGTGATTAAAGTCAAAGTAAAGTTTGCAAAAGGTTTCACCCCATGCATTTTTTAAATTGTTGTGCTTGGTTGATTGTGTGTGAGTTATGAAAGTAGGCCATAACCCATAAGTCTAGAAATAGGTCATTTGTACAATATCTCAAAGTGTTCAAGTATTCGAAAGCCATTATTCCGAAGGCCTAAGGTTATTTGGCTTAAACAAAAACCAAAAAATGTATGTCCCTTACTAATCCGAGAATCAAAATTTAAAGTTACATTGTTGTCCTTTTAGGTGCAATTGGATTATAACTGAATTGACAAGTCCAAAGAATGAAAGAGGTGACAAAACAAAGAAACATTAGAGCCCTTCAATGAATCATCCTCCAACACATCTTCGGAAAATCCAACACTTTATACTTTGATGATGCCGCCGATATTCCTCCATTCTTCTTGTCTCCTGCTGCTAATCAGCTTAAAGCAAAAACCAATCATATAAAATGCAACTGCCCTGCTCGCATGATCCTTTCTCCAACGCCATGGCTAATTGGGTCGAGCTCCTTTCTTAATGAGGTATTTGTGCATATGAGAGATGCTCCCTTCCCTTTAATTCCGATCGCGAGTCTGCACTTTCCATTCCCTCCCCTGTTTCCATGGCTGCCTGTTATTTGGCACTGTCGCTCTCTCCTTCTTTCAGCAAGACCCACCATCTCGCTTTCTTGCCGAAACCACTGACCCACCAAAACCCTCGTCGGTTTATTCAACAGAGCCAGAGGCGGACCCTTCTGGAGTCGAAGAGGTCTACTTTGGAAAGTCGTATTCTTCTTTCTACTGCACTCGGGGCTTATTCCTCGCGTGGGTTCATCGACCCGTCTGCTGATGACGAAGCAATTCTGCCGGCGGTTGAGGAAAAGCCGATCAAGTTTCTTATTTGGGTCGCGGTTTGGGCTTCCCTTTCGCTTGTTTGGTTCGCGTCTTCCGGGGATGCGAAAGCGGCCGCCGATTCTTCCATCAAAGCTTCCAGCTTTGGTCTGAGAATCGCTAATGCGCTTCGAGGCTCCGGCTGGCCGGACGAGGCCGTGGTTTTCGCTCTCGCTACCCTTCCTGTGATTGAGCTTCGTGGGGCTATTCCAGTCGGTTACTGGCTCCAACTCAAGCCCGTAGCGCTCACCGTTTTAGCCGTAATTGGGTCAGTATTGAGTTTTCCAGCTTTAATATTCTTCGCTGTTTGTGATTCTAAGACTGCCTTGCCTGCAACCTGTTCGAAGAAATGCTTCTGTGACAACATAGCAGCTATTGGTGACTGAGAATTTTGTTTGCTTTCAACCTGTTTGAAGAAATGCTTCTGTGACACTTTACACTGAACCTACTGGCATGCCCTGAATGGTAACCAAATTTTGGGGGGTGTTCTTATGTGCAGGAACATGGTCCCAGTGCCTTTCATCATACTATACATGAAGAAGTTTGCTTCTTTCCTTGCTGGAAAGAACCGGACAGCATCTCGATTCCTCGAGATGCTGTTCAAGAATGCCAAGGAGAAAGCTGGCCCCGTTGAAGAGTTTCAATGGCTTGGTCTGATGCTGTTTGTGGCTGTACCTTTCCCTGGAACAGGAGCATGGACAGGTGCCATTATAGCTTCCATTCTCGACATGCCTTTCTGGCCAGCCGCATCAGCTAACTTCTTCGGTGTGGTGTTGGCCGGGCTGCTGGTGAACTTGCTGGTGAATCTGGGACTCAAGTATGCCATCGTCACTGGTATCGCCCTCTTCATTGTATCTAGTTTCATGTGGAGCATACTTAGGAAAGTTAGGAAGTCTTTCAGCTCCCTCTAAACTGACCATCATTCAATCGCTCTGGTCATAGGGACAAAAATTTAATTTTAATGAATGAGTGACGACGAGGTCACTTCGACTTCGAGCAAGTTTTAGCTAGATTTGGAAGTTTAAGTTGGTTTTGCAACCGTGATCACCATCTATGCTCAGAAACCTTTAGCTGCTTTGTTATGAAACCCTTCCGTTACTCGGTTATCTAAGTAGTAAAATGCAGCATTCTCCAGTTTTCAGCTGTAAAGCTGTAAGCTCGTAAGTCGTAACTATTGCCTCGCCTGTGTAAATAAGTACCAGGGAATACATTTTCGGATTAATTTAGGGAAGTTGATTGCCTGTGACTGATTTTTGCCTTTAGATTTTGGATAACTAGAGCTGAAAAGTGCTCTGCAAAGGGAGGGACTGCTCGACGTGGCTACTGCCTTATTTGACATAGGCTTGAGTTCTATGATTTGTGATTACGAGGTAGAAAATTTTAATCCCTAATTCCAAAGATATGAAGAAGCTGAAAAAGTTATTCAGTTCAGGTTGATAGTCCTTTCTGCGGAGCGTAGTCATAGTGTTCGTGCATTTCCAATTTCAATTGTGATTATGTCGAAATGGGCTTTGGGACATATTTGGAATTTAAGGCCTTGGATTTATATTGGAGATTCTTAGATCCAAGGGCTAAGATCGAAAATTAACGTAAGTTTTAAGATTATGTTTTTTATTCAAAGCCCTCAATTAAGGATATGGGATATGTATATGGAGATATTTGGGATTTTCTAAATTGATACATTTAATTAATTTATGTATTCTATTGTTTCAATGTATGAATTTGAAAAATACATAATTTGGAGGTTGAAGGATTTTAGTAGTCTTATAAAAAACGAGGTAAGTAAAAAAGAGAGATTGATAGCTGAGATTGACAATCCATAATGAATGATTTTAGTTGTCCCATCTTCTACTCAAATACAAGTATTGTGTTTCATTTTAAGACCAAAAGAACGTTGAATTCTCATAATTACATGTGTTATCTAAATACATTATCCTGAGATTGTACCCTCCTACTCTACCCTGGGAGCCTTGGGCTTCCTCCTGAAAACACCCTAGTCAGCGTGTTTGGTTCACCCTCTCGTCCCAAGCCTGGTTGGTTATGGCCCACATCAGCCCACGCGTCTGTTCGGTCGGCCATGATCAACTCGTGGCCCTTGCAAAGAGGAGAAATCGCCCCTTGGACTTGGTCTTTCGACCTTCTAGGTGGCACTTCTAGTTGTTGTTCGTGGTGTAGATGTGGTTGAGGCTCGACTTCTTGTGTGGAGGTCCAAGTTGTTCTGGCTCTCCATTGATTGGAAGTGCGAAACCGGAACTACTTCCGAAGGACGAGCATTGGAACTCTACCCATCAAAGGATTAACCCTTAGAACGATTCCTACACACAAGAAAAATTCATGCACATCCATGCCAAACACATTTCACATATTATCAATGAACGCAATGAACACTTCTTCTCATCCCTAGGATCTAATCTCATACACCCACATACTTAATGTTTACTATGTAAAACAAGGGTTAAGTGAAAAGCAATGTCGAATTAGGTAGTTAACGATTGTGATTGATTAGTTCTACTGACAACAAGTCAATCTAGGGGTTCAATGTCGAGGCCAAAGGCAAGGAACAACCTAAATGACTAAGGTAAGGGTATGGAACGATTGCTCAAAAATCATATCAAAGCGGTAAGTTTAGGTGAGCAAAGGGGCCATCAATTTGTCATTCATCAAATCATTACATGCACAAATTATGTGGTTTGGACATTTCATCGAGCACTTGGTGGGCGACAATCAAAACATCTAGAATCATGTGATTCATGCCTACCAAGGCCTCCAAACCACATACATTCACTCATAAACATGCAATACACAACAACATTCCAACATTTCATCATTTATCCCTCCACCATTGTCCATCAAAACTTATTCTTAACTAAGGCAAGGTCATTCACTATCACTCTAACAACAAACGCGCCTAAAAAAAGATTCAATAATGCCAGTTCTTTATCGAGATGTAAGGAGAAGAAAGGCAAACTGATGTTGGGATGCCTCCCAACTAGCGCGTCTTTCACGTCTTATCGTCGGACGCTTGCCTTCAAGTTCTTGGTCCAACTTAAAACCTCCTTAAAATTGAGGTTTTCATCAGCAAAGTGGAGTATCAAGTCTTGATCGGTCTTCCAATCATTCGGTGATGGCTCACGTAGAGGCAATTGCTTGAGAAACCACAATTGAACCTCAAATCACTTCATTTCTTGTTCTCTTTACCTCTAACCAACTCAAGTATCTTCAAAGGGTCATCCTCACATCTACCAAGAGATATTGATGATGTCGTGGCCTCGTCTAAGCAAAGAGTTATAGCAAAAGGATCCGATGCTAAGAATCATTTAAGGTCGGGTAACCTTCCTGGTCAAAATAAATGGCCTCTTCGGGCACACTAACCCACATGAATCCCAAATCATCTTCATCCTTTTCTTCAACCTCCTCTCTCTCTTCTTCATTCATATCTTCTCCATATTGAGTATTAAGCTCATCCTCTTCTTTACTTTCTACTTCCTCCTCATCAATGCTCTCTTCTATAATAACTTCTCTTTGTTGGTATGGAGCTATGATGTTTCTCCAAGCAAGTTTTTTACTATATAAGTCTTAAAAAGTTATGCGCAATAATTTTTTGGGTAAATACAATTTAATAGCCAAACCTTTCATTTTAAACAAAATAATAACCAAACCTTTTCGAAAACAATTTAATAGCCAAACCGTTAACTTTCCGTCCAGTCAACTGTTAGTTGACTCTAACGTGGCAAGTATTTGTACACGTCAGCTTATATTTTGTTTTATTATTTTTATTTATTATTAGTTGTACAAATGATTGAATTATATTTAAATGGAAAAGAAAAAAGAATCCTTCATCCCCCAACCACCTCATCGTCTCCTTCACCTGCTGCCTCCCCTTCTTCACCATAGCGCCACAACTTCTTCTTCTTTCGTCTCCTCTCATCATACCGGCCTCATATTTCTCCATCCCGCAACTAATTGTTGTTCATTCTCCTCCCACCAGTTCGTTCCCCTCTCTCTCCCTGGCAACCACCCATCGTCAATTTCAATTGGACCTATTTGGATTTGACTTTATACGCTTATCGATTGTATATATTAGGGATTTGTTTGCACCTGTGAGGGGATGACGTTGTTCAACCTTCTTCTATGGTTTCCCTCAAATTCAAAACCCTAATTAGAAACACAGAGTGGTAGCAGAGTGACGGAATTGAATTTGGGTATTGAATTCTTCTTTTTTGGTTTTTTATGTCGATTGCAAATGACAAAAGCAGAAGGGGGGAACACTAGCTCTTCCATTCTCGGAACAAAGCTTCTTGCATGGTGGTAGGTGAATTCATCTCGATTTCGCATCTAGGTAACCACCACTTCTTCTCCCGCCGCCGCAACTGCTTCCCGTTCATCTACGTCGGACTGGCAAGAATCCCGAGTCGCCGCCGCCATCAGAGACTTCTCCTCCACTGTCACCTTAGCCTGCTTCTCCTTTCCTATGATTGAACCCTTGGTTTTCTTCTTTTTTCGGATCGTCGAGCCAGACGAAGAGAGTAGAGGAGAGAGAACTAGGGCCGAGGTGGCGGTTCCGTTCCCGGTGGAGTCGCGTTGGAGAAGACAAGGCGGCGGACGAAAGCTTTTTGGGATTTCTGTTTTTCTTTTTCGTTTAGTTATAATTAAATTATTTTTACAATTACATAAATGATAAAAGTAAAATATATAAGCTGACGTGTATGTGTATCTGCCACGTCAGAGTCAACTAACAGTTGACTAGACGGAAAGTTAACGGTTTGGTTATTAAATTGTTTTTGAAAAGGTTTGGCTATTATTTTGTTTTAAGTGAAAAGATTTGGCTATTAAATTGTATTTACCCTAATTTTTTTTATGACATTCGGATTGAGTAGCACAAAGCTATGGTCTTCCAAAGTTTGGCAAAATCGAAAAATTGCTCGTTTGGGGTAGCAAGCGACATTTTTTGGGGATGAAGGTGAGTTGCAGATTGAAAGATATTGAAATTTATGTGAAATAAAAAACAATCACTGCGATTGGATAACCGAGCGCAAAGTTACGTTCTTTTGAAGTTTCAGCCTTGAGTCAGGCCTTCACCGCTTTTGTCTGCCGCAGTGAATGCATTCACTGCTATTGATAGACGCAGTGATGCCCAAATATGTGTAGATTGGGAATTTTTCATAAAACGTGTGTATTATGAGAATTTGTTTTTAAAACATGTGTATTTTTGGGATTTTTTTCCGTATTTTGACACTCACATGTGATAATAATCACCTAGTTCCTCAAGATCCATCAAACATCAATATTGATCCAATATTGCAATTTGTTTTTTGTAGAACCGCGAGACCGGACCATGTGTCGATATTGTTGAGCCACAACGTTGTTACTAAAATCGCAGTGCGGTTAAAGTTGCAACATTGCTCTTGCGCCAACATGGTTTTAAACACGACAATGCTTGAACCACGACATTGCTCGAACCATTCTCATGGAACGTTAAGACCGCATGGTTGCACCATGGCTCCGCCCCACAGGCTAGCTTGGTCGAACAGTGGCTCCACTTGGCAATGTTGTTTTCTATGGAGACACAACCCACTGAAAGAGCTCAGAAATCCTGAGTTTCTCTATATTGATTAAGAGTATTTATACATCAGAAATCCTGAGTTTCTCTATATTGATTAAGAGTATTTATACATCAATAGACTGCAAATCCTACACAGAGGATGAACTGAACAACTAGAATTAAGGAATGGAAATAAAGCATCACCAATTCACCATTGCTTGGCGTCAGAGTGCGGTTGGTAACCGGCCAACACAATAAAAACCCAAGCCTCCCTCTAGCCCAACAAATTCCTATAGCTTGTTGGATTGACTAATTTAAAGCCAATTTAACATCCAAATTTATCAATTTGGTAATTTAGTGAAAATATTATGGCTTAGACAATTTGATTGCCGGATTAAAAAGGTCACACAAGGATTCCATTTTTCGAAAATGGGTGCACTAGAAATCCATGGTGGCGTTAACCACAATGCTGGTAAAAGTGCCTTTTGGAACTCGAAATGGTTATTGTGACTACTGAATTGTATCTATTCTCATCAAACATACCTGTAACTATCAATTTTCCCACCCAAGGGGGAAAAAACAGAGGGAACCTGGATGCTACATTTCGACCCTTCATCGCCATTGATATGTCTTTAGCAACAATTAGAACTTTCATTCATCATTTATAAAAACAATTCCCAAAACCATTAAGAAAATGAAGATCTGCCCCACAGGATTTCTTCATAGATGCCATTGGTTGGCATTTCAGAGTTGCAAAAATTTAAGTGAAGGAATCAAAATGTACAGCATGATGTTGTTGCTTGACCTGGAAATAAATTCTGATTTTTGGTTGGTTGGTTGCTTCTTTCTGCTGATCTAGGGTTTTCTTTGACTAATTGTTATTTAACTCATTGTGGGTGGTTTCTTTTCTATAATTAGGGTTTTATTTTTCAATCAACATTCTTCCCCAAAATTAGTGAATGACCAAATAGACTTGTCATTTAGTCCACATCATTGAATAACTACTCCATTGGGGGTACAAAAGCAAGTACCAATTTTCTTTCTAAGTACTGTATATGTATTTATTCATTCCCATGTCAAGTTGTTCATGATAATGACCTTGCTTTGCTACGAATATCCAAATATTAAGCAAGATTAACTTGAATGATATAAAACACATATATACACCCTTTCTTAGTCGGTAGTCTGGAGGAATTTTTTTCTTTCTAACATGAAGTATTTTTTTTAGTCAAACGAATTGTTAAACGAGGTGATTCAAATTGTCATCCTCCCCCTTCGACAATTCGAACTTCCACAAAATAAAGTACTTGAAATTTTCATGTGTCAAATGTTGATTTTTTGCCGTCACACGAGTTATTTCAGCTCAAATTAAGATATGGCTGTAAGACAAACATACCAACTTACTACTTCGAATCCCTCATCTGAATACAAAAAAAAAAAAAAAAAAAAATTGTTAATGATCAAGGTTCCCGTTGGCCCTATCGAACAAGTGGATTAAGGGTTAATGGTCCGACCGCTTTAACTCTATTTAGTCCGGATATATGAAACAAGTCATTATCTAACTAATGAGTAATAACATATAACATTACACCAAAATAACATGTCATACTTGAATCTAGGGGTGGCCGTTCGGTTACGGGTTACCGGTTAACAGGCCGGTTAAACCGGTAACCAGCTGGTTATCCACTAAACGGTAACTGAAGTAACCGAACTTCGGTCGGTTATCGGAGACTGGACGAAATAATTTTTGGTCTTAAAAGTGATTCGGTTAACCGATAACCGAGTAATTGAAGCCTATTTCGGTCGGTGTTCGGTAGGGGTGGTGGTTATTTCGGTTAACCGATAACCGGTCGATCGGTTACCGGTTATAACCGAAAGAACCGAACTGCCACCCCTACTTGAATCTAACATATAGTGAAAATTCACACACACTTATATAACATCAATATTCAATGTTCAACTTAGAATTTCAAAGATTGGGTTATGCGAAAAGGAAAACCAGAAGATAGGCGTATTTCGCAAACCAAAGGAAAAAATGACACAATTTGACCTTCAACCTAGTACCTTGCAGTGGTTGATCCGGTGAGTGTGTACGACCCGTTTTTCTCACCGAATCAGGGTTAAAGTGGATCAACCGACGGATCGATCCGCGGGTGACAACCTTCTTAATGACTTATTGGATCATCTTAATAACCACTATCATGATTAAACAATGCAAAAATACACAAATGATCACAAATTGAAGCTAGTTTTGATGACCCAATTATTGCTTACAAAAAGGCAAAAACAAAAAAAATATCAGCTAGTAAGGGTTGCAAGCAGTCTTTACTCTTTAGTACACATATCGAGCTCCTCAGTTTTTTACAAGTTAGAAACAAAATTAATATGGTCCCGAAAAATAACAAAAGTAGTATAAAATATTATCTTTCTTACACCAAAAAAATATAAAATATTATCTTTCTGATAAGAGATTATAAAAATATCATTAGTTAACAAATTTATCTTATGAAATTCCTTTCACTCTTATACTCATTATAGTTTCCAACTTCATATCAACAAGGGGGAAATGTAAAATGAAAGGAACGGGGAAGAAAGCGATATCTTTTTCTACTTTTGACGAGGATAAATTAAATTCATCTACCAAACAATAGATGTCCCTTTCTACAAAATGAAGAGTTAATCATTTTGAAAATAATTATTTTATTCATTAAAAACTTGAAACAGTAAAGGAAATTAGGGCTGGCTATTTGGTCCGGGTTTTTTGGTTTTACTCAAAACCGGACCGTATAACCCGGACCAAGACCGGACTGGGACCGGATAGTAAACAATCCAATCCAATCTTTGGGCTTAGATTTGAAATAAAAAACCGTTCGAGACCGGATAAAAAACTGGATAAAGACAGGATAAGAGAGCTCAACACCCAAAACTTAAGGGTAATTAGCATAAACGGTCACAAACCTTTGCGCTTAGTACAAAACTTAACCAACTCCTCACCCTTTCAGCCCTTAGGCCACTCAAATCTCCACAAGCTCAATATAAAATCAAGACCGAATTGGGACCGGACTAGGTCAAGACCGGATCGGATCAAAACCGGACTGTATCCAATCCAATCTTTGGTCCTTATATTTTCGAAAAGACCGGACTGGACCGGATCAATTTGGGCCAATTTAACCGGACCAGACCGTATAGCCACCCCTAAAGGAAATTTTGGTGTACACGGAAGACACAAAATTTTATTTTAGCATTCATCCACAAAATATCTATTTTCATTCATAAAATTTTTTATATATTTTCATTGAAATTTATTAATTATTCATATAAATGGAAAATTCTTAGCTCCAACTTTGGTTGGATGTAGAAGCTCCAACCAGTCACATGTCCGTTTGTTATTGGTTGACTCACTTTTCTTTATTCTTAATATTTAATGTTCTTCATTATGCTAAATAAATCAAGAATTAAAATAAAAAAGATTAACTCACTAATAAGAAACTGACATGTGGCTGGTTGGAACTTCAACGTCCAATCCAGGTTGGACCTAAGAATTTTCCCATATAAATTACTTATATTTACACACATAACATTTTTACACATAATCTGAATAATTTCATCTATATATCAATTAATTTTTACATGTAACGTCATAAATTCAACTAATCACTTGTTCGTTCATAATTTACCAAATAAAAACCTCTAATATCGTAATGAAAATAAAATGATGAGTCAATGCAAGAGAAGATATTTTTCCGTAGTTTATTTCCAAAAAGAGCTCACATTGTTTGCAACAAACTAGTAAATAATATGTCACCAGAAAGTCCAATCCACATTCCACCAAATTCCACAGCATATATAAAATAATATTTTAATTAAAAAAGAGATCTTTTCATATATTTTATGGGATATAAATTTAGAAGAACATATGTGTCGATATCAGCAAAAACCCATTATTTATTTATTTGTTAATATCTTGAGGATATTCTTTAATAAGTCCATATCTGGTTGGTTAGATTAAACAATAATCAATTCTGACAGGTACTGGTGCAGTTATTATCAATAACCTGAATCAAAAATTAAAATTTTATGATTAAATTACATTGAGTCGTTGGGATATATAATTTTATATGATATTTTGAAATAAAAAATAGTTTTATTTGATAATATGGTATTTCTGGCTTATTCCAAATAATTATCTTTGATAATATGGTATTCAAAATTAACCAATTGAAATAACTCAATCGAAATATCACCTCTCTAAAAAAGAATTTCCGAATGAATTATTCTGACTCAAATAAGTCATTATAACGACCCATGTAAATGCAATATGAGTTCAAGCAATTAATGTTCCACCTGGTTTTTTTTTATCGAAACCAGTTTATCTCATTAATCAAATGAAACAGTAACATTGTCCAAAATCAACTGATTAACAAGGAAATGTGGAGGACTATCAACCCACATCACTGGAGAGTTCCAGCTTATATCACTATGTGCCATGATGTGTGCCGCCATATTCGCTTGGCGTCTCGCATGTCGGCACGTACTCTCACCCATATCAGCTAAAATACCCCGCACGCTCCGACAAATTACGCCTAAGACTATATTGAAGTGTTAGTTGGAGGTTTCACAAAGTACAATATTGAAGTGTTACCACTAAAAAATCACTCAATACCACATTGATTATTTTTAAGGAGTGATAGTGATTTATAAGGCCAACTTAACCATATTAATTAAATTAGTTTAAGCTGGGCCTAAATGATGGTATTTTGGGCTTCATACAAGGTACCTCAACACACACCACTTGACCCACCAAACACCCACCCGTCACGCAAGAGGGATCAAGTGCCAAGCGTGTTGACACCCTTCAACATCAACCATCGCAAGTACCACTGGACATGATGGGAAAGAAAGCGAAAATTGGCTAAGTGTTGAGACCCATAGCACAAGGGGGGTCAAGCATGACATCGTCCAAGGGGGTCAAGCACGGCATCATCCATGTCATAGTGTCCAAGGGGGGTCAAGTGCCAAGCGTGTTGACACCCTTCAACATCAAACACCCAAGTCGGCATGGTGGGAAAGAAAGCGAAAATTGGCTAAGTGTTAAGACCCATAGCACAAGGGGGGTCAAGTATGACATCGTTCAAGGGGGGTCATGCATGACATCCACCCAAGTCGGCATGGTGGGGGCAAAATTTGGCTAAGTGTTAAGACCTAACCACTAGGGGGGTCAAGCATGACATCATCCCAGGGGGGGTCAAGCATGATGTCATGCAAAGGGGTCATCGCGAGTACCGCTAGACATGATGGGAAAGAAGGCGAAAATTGGCTAAGTGTTGAGACCCATAGCACAAGGGGGGTCAAGCATGACATCATCCAAAGGGGGTCATGCATGAAATCTTCCAAGGGGGGTCAAGCACGGCATCATCCATGTCATAGTGTCCAAGGGGGGTCAAGCATGACATTGAGTCGAGTATGATGAGACGCAAGGGGGTCTAGCCACCTACCGGGTATCAAGCATGTGGCAAGGGGAGAAGGGAAACGCAAGTCCCTAAACTGTGGTGGCAAAGAAAGGCAAAATTTGGCTAAGTGTTGAGACCCATAGCACAAGGGGGGTCAAGCATTACATCATCCCAGGGGGTCAAGCATGATGTCATGCAAGGGGGGTCAAGCACTATGTCGTCTACCTACCTTGCGCTAGGGTGTCAAACATGATGTTGTGCAAGGAGAGCTATCACGAGTATCCCTACACGTGATGCGTCAAAAGAAGGTGAAAATTGGCTAAGTATGGAGATCCAACCACAAGGGGGGTCATGCATGATACCGTCCAAGGGGGTCAAGCACCGGATACCGCTAAGTCTCGTGCAAGGTCATCAAGTTTCTAAGTGGTCAGGCATGTATATCATCATGTGGTAGACCAGTTTGTCAAGACCCTACAAGTATGATGTCACCCCCAAGGGGGTCAGTGTGCATCCATCAGCCCCCAAGCACCCTAGTGTCGAGGGTGGTTAGCACGAGTACCACCAAGCTTGAAGCCCTCAATCACCAAGCAAGACACCTCCATGACACAAGGGGCTAGCTATCAAGTGAAGTCAACAAGGTGCAAGGTATCAAGTGGCAAACACTCAAGGCGTTAAGCAAGCTACATCAAGCACCAAGCAGAGGAGAAGCGGTGAACTAGAGACGGTTACACGGCGGTTACAAGTGATGGCTATAAATAGGAGAAACGAAGACGAATCAAAGAGTCCACAACCAAATATTTGACACCACATGTCAAACTTATCTTTCCTCTTCAATGTAGCCATAGTCGTAGCCTTTGATTTCTGGAGCTCTCACTGAACCTCCATAGGAGTAGAAGTAATTTAACTTAGTTTTATCAGCCATCAAAATCATCAAACACCCTCGTTCGAACATTGTTCGGAGAGGAGTGAACCGTGTTATTGTCGTTGTTCAAGAAGTCCAAGGTGCATTTATTGAGTTCAAACACCAGTTTTTCCTTGCCTGAAAACAAGGACAAAATTTGATGTCGAATGAAGGAGATAGCCACTTAAGGGTGCACAATATGTTATTGGTAGGTTGCCTAACCCCAATTTCAGTCCAACAACCTGCAGTTTCCCAAAACTTACTATATGTGAGATGTTGCACCTAGCCAAATTGTTAGGTCTTATGACCAAAATTGGCAAGTTCCATTACCCGCCAATTTGAACCCCCTAGACCCTACCAATTTGGGGACTATCGTGATTAAGAGCTTAAATCGTAAGGGAACTCGGGAACAACACATTCTAATTTCATACATTAAATCCTTTGGAGTGATCGTATGTCTTGTACAACAAAAAGCACTTACCAGTATCAGAATTAGTAGCGGCCCTCAAGACCACTTGAAGGTCAAAGAGTGAATTGATCCTAGTGAAAGAAAGATGAAATATTGAACATCATGAACAAGTATGTGATGGTCGAGCTGATACAATCCCTAGTTCTATCCCAATTGAAGCTGGAATGAAAGCCCTTCTAGAAGGTCTTAAATTAGCACAAGAATATGGCGCATAATGTGCGATCCAATCAGATTATCTAGTATTGATTCAAGTTTTATCACAAGACTCTTTGAAATCCCCTTGAAAGAGTGTCGTATGGATAAGACCAATGACGTCAACTCTCAGATCGAACCTTCTTATTAAGGTCTACGAAGTTTAACACTAGAGTTGATCAAGTTGCTCGCTTTATAGCGGGATCTTCTCTTCCGGATAACTGAATCAATATACTATATCAAATTTGTGACACCTATGACCTTGTGGAATAACATTGGATCTTAATGTCAAAAAAGGGGGTTGATGAATTTGTCTAACCTTCCATGAGTACACAAACATGTCAACATCCCTCCTTTGGCTTTGTTATAAAAAATCTTTTGTTTTGGTGGTTGTCAACATCCTTCACTACCCTAAAAAGAGTAGATGTGCCTAGAAGTCATGGCTATGTGAAGAGCCTTTATTATGGAAACTTGGCACACCAGTACATATATGACACCAGAATCTTGACTTAGCCAAGCAAAGCCACCCAGAAAGGGGAAAACAAAAAAGTAACTACACAAAAAGTTTCATGACTTGTCAAACTATTCAAACTTGTTGATTCACGTTGTTTCCCCTCCCTTTGAAAGTGAAACCCGCAATTGCCTCCTTTGTCTGAACGGCTTTCATAAGCACACAGGAGGAGGCTTGATGATGAATCCTTTGCCTGCTAGTTATATTTTCCACATGTTCTTATCATTCATTATATTGATATATGAACTCTACTGTTAAGTTTGGTTAAACAAAAGATCATGTAATTTCTTGAAGTTTCGGTTAACCGAATCTAATATCGTTCGACTCTCTAACGTCCTCAGTTAGTTCGACTAGGAACATACCTCACTTGCTAGATGAAAAAGTACCTAAAAATTTCAAGTAACTCCATTTCCAGGAAGCCACAATGTAACCAAAATGATGCAAATGATTTGCAGAAAGAAAGGGTTGAAACTTGAAATTGGATTTTGATTGCTTATTCACAAATCTTGCCAAGAGAGAGCTTCTTTAATGGCCCAACGGCTTTTACAAAGGGAACTTGCTCAAAGCAGAGAGTTAAAGTTAACCCTATCAGGATAAATGATATAAAGTAAAAAAAAACACACTACATTATACTTTTTTTTTACTGTGTAACTACTACGCAAGTAAACCACCATTGGCGCCCCTAGGCAACTTCGTTTCACTCCAAGTCAAATTTCTCGTCTTGAGTGCCATACTTACTACAACCACAGGATGATTAACCACCGTGGTTAGCACCAAGAGCGCCAAATCTTTTCTTACGATCCACTGTGCACTGATTTTTCTTTGTACAGAAGCTGTGTGAAATTGGAAACTACTGCTTTAACAATTTCTGGTTCTTCAAAGTCTCCGGGAATCTCTGGACGGACTTCCTTCGTTTAAAAAATCACATCCAGTTCATCAAATCCAGCACCAGAAAGGGCTGATCCTCCACAGGAAACTCGAAACCGCAGGAATTGGGCACCCCAGGAAGCTCGTTGAATTTGGGGAACCCGTTAATGGACGGCTGAGCCATCATCAGAAGTTCGTTGTTGTTTCTAATGTTGTTGTTAATGTACAGGCTGTCGTCTTCGTCCTGGGAGAAGTAATCCGAAAGGTTCTCCTCGAAGACTTGCGACGACTCCGCCGCTTCCATCAGCACCGAATGCGGGCTGTCCGAATTGATCACGTCGCTCTTCCCCGTCGCCGTCGCCGTTGCTTCCTCTGGCTTCATCGGCGGCGGCGGAATAATGGCCGGGACCATAAACGTCCCCGTTCCACCCAAATTAGTCAGATTCGCCCTCGTCCCCAATTTCTCCTTCAGCGAATTCACCTGTCGGGAAATTCTCGACACAATCAGGCTAAAATTATGGGTTTCCCCCGGAGTTAGGAAAGCAAGGGTTTTTTTTTTCTTACCTCGTTTTTTAGGGATTCTTTTTCTTGGAGCAGGGAGTTGTAATCGGATTTGAGGCGGTCGAAGTTGGCACGGAGGGAGTCGAAATCTCTCTCCAGCTGCTTGTTCTTGAACCGAGCCCGGCGATTCTGGAACCAAATGGCGACCTGGCGAGGCTGCAAGCCGAGCTCCTGGGCAAGCTGCACTTTTCTCTCCGGCTCCAGCTTGTTCTCCATCTCGAAGCTTCTTTCCAGGGAGTGAACCTGGCCGATGGTCAGCCGCCGTTTCTTACCTCTAGGGCTGGAACCCAGTTCGAAATCCTCGTCGCAGAGCTCTTCTTTCACCAGAGAGTGGAAGAAACTTCCTCCGTCCATGGCGTCTCCGCCCCCAACATTGTCGAAATCCAACAAATGTCTCGCCCCTGAGAACAGAAAGAAACTCAATTAAGAGAAAACAGAGGATGGAATTGACACAGAGGTTCAACAGAGAAAAAAGGTGAAGTTACCGTGGAAATCGACGGAAGGGGGAGGTATCCAGAGAGGATCGCAAGAGAGGAGGCCAAAACCAACGATGCCGCCGGAGACTGTGTCGCTCGCCATGTATGATTCAAGGCAGAGAGAGATTTTGGCGTTCTGATGGGATTTGGGATTCAGGGGGAAAACCAGTTACCCTTTTAAATTTTAATTACTGACCCTTCAACGATCTAACAGAGCTTGCGGCGAAAGGAGGTCGTGGGGATTTTCAGGGCAATGTAGAAACTTTGGGAGTGAAGAGAGCTGAAACTCATCGGCAGCTTGTGTTGGAAATGGCTATTCCAACAGGGAACCAGTTTGGATTTTCAAAGCTTGTGCAGAAATGGAGGTAATTGGTTTGTGGTTCTGGGATAGATGTTTTCCTCTGGTGGAAGGAGGAGGGAGAAGAAAGGTTGAAGCTTTTGAGGCAGAGAAGTGACAGAAAGGAGAAGAAGGAAAGGAAAGGAAAGATTTGAGAGATTATTCTTGTTTTTGGGGGGAGTAGGACTGAGCAGTAGGAGTGAGTGATTGAGTTTTATAAGGCACAGCAACAAGAAAGTTTGTTTCTGCAGTGTGGCCATTTTCCTTCTTTTTGTGAGAAAATAACATCTGTCACCTTGAAAATTACTATAGTGTCCCTAGTGTTATAATTGCCACTTGGCAAGAAGAAGACGGAGGCTCCTTCCATTTTTTTATTTCTATTTTACGCCTCACGCATGGATTTGATTTGACCATTTTATTGATGGATGTTTTATCAATTTGATGAAAGTGTGGTTTTCATATCGTCTAAATTGGTTACTTTTTAAATTTATTTGCTAGACCTAAAATAATCGTGTTTAAGTCATATTGAAATCTATATTTATGCTTATATATGAGTTCATGTTTGGAAACCATTTGCTTTAGCATGAATTAGACTGCTTTGAGTGATTTTCACAGGAAAACTATCTTATTTTGTCACGTTTTATGTTTGTTTGGTGTTTTTGTTGATGGTTAATGGAAGGGAATGCGTTAGGGTGGCTATCAAAATTACGAAAGCCACCGTGGCTACTTTAGTATCCTCTATTCATTTTTCTTTTTTTCTTTTTTTTAATTAAAATTGCTCAAGGATAATTTTGGAAGAAAAAAATGTAACCACACCTGATTATTTTATATATTTAATCCAAACCCCATTTCTACCCCAACCTTCCTCCAGCCAAACCCGTCGCAGCCGCAAGTTACCATCGTCGTTCCATCCACCACCTCAGCACCCCCCTCCATCGCCGGAGATTTCTCCCCATGGCTGTCGCGGCCGTACTCGGCCTGCCTCCGGTAATCCCCTCTTATTTTCATCTCCCAATCCCTCCTCCTCCTGCCTCCACCCTAGTGCTTCTTCCTTTCTATCTCCGTGTCCCCAATTCCTTCCTCTCAAATTCATTTATTCATATCCCTCTCTCTCCATGCCACCACCAAAGGATGTTCCCTATTGCTTGGGCTATAGTGGAAGGGGAAAGTAGTGATATATGAAAATGGTTTGTTTCGATTTTACAGCGGGATCTTAGGACTACTGATCGTCATGGCTGGACTGTCATATCCGACTAGCATAAAGGTATATTTATTTGGAAGAATGTTTGGATGAATGTGATTTCTTATTTGTATATGATATTCCAAATTTGACTAATATTTGATTTTCTTTGTAGGGACTTGTGCAAGCACTAAACATCTGCTTATCTGAGGCATCACTAAGAAAGTGTGCATGCCATGTCTTCGCAAACTGGAAGGTCAACCATAGGGTCAAGGCACACAGAGACTTGTACTGGGAGGCAGTGTATGCAACAAATGTACACGAGTATAAGGCAGTTATCAAAGTCATTGGAGAGATTCAAAAAAGTGGGCAGATCCTTCTCTACTCAAAGACTTTCTGGATCATCAACCAGAGACCTTTTGCAGGGCTTTTATGAGTCACACTCCCAAGTGTGATTCGGTGGAAAGTAACATATGCGAGACCTTCAATGGTTACATCTTGAAAGAGAGGGAGGATAGGATTATTGACATGCTTGAGGGCATCCGTCGGAAGATAATTGCGAGAATTGTTGATAAAAATTGGCAAGTTAGTGATTGGACTGATCGCCTCTGTCCTAGGATAGCGAAGAAGGTAAGAATTGTTGTGGAGTTGTCCAAGATTTGCCAAGTGGGTCCAGGCTTGGACATGAAGTTTGAAGCGACAGTTGATCGTAAAGGGTACATGTTAAACTTGGACGAAAGGACATGCAGTTGTGGGACGTGGGGGTTGACTGGAATTCCCTTTCTACATGCCATTGCCTACATGCAATGGAAAAGGATAGAGCCATCTGAGTTCGTGTCTCCCTATTACACTGTCATGTTTATCCTCCAAAGTTCAAGATCTTACCTGGTCGTCCAAAGAAGAAAAGGAGGAAAACACTAGGGGAGATCGAGACGGTTCTACATGGCAATGATGGTTCTGCTATCAAGAAGAAAAGGTGTCTCATGCATTTTAGGAAGTGCAAATCTCTGGACCACAACGTGAGGACTTGTCCGGATCTTCGAGTAGAATGGGTAAGTAGACTGTTTTAAGCAACCCTTTTTTTGTAATGTCTGTGCATTTTGTATGAACTTGATATAGAAACCTTTTCTCTAATTACTGTACAAAATATACAACAAGGTGAAGGAAGTAGGAACGTTCAAGGTGAAGGGGCTGATGTTAGTGGAGGTAGGAGTGTTCGTAGGAGGAATGAGGGAGATGAAGGGGGTGATTTAGCTCAAATTGAGAGGCAGACTGAGGAAGGTCAACCCTCAGTTGTGAGAAGAAGCAAAGGGTTATGTTCCAAATGTAGGAAAGCTGAGCATAATGCTAGAACTTGCCCTCTAGTTGTTGGTATTCAGGTAAGAGATAAATAGAAAATTACAACTGATGTTAGAATTAGATGTTAGAGAACACATAACTAAACTTGTTTGAATGTTCTGATTAGGAAGCACATGTCAATCGTGCTGTCACCAGTAGACGTGCTCAATACAGAGAAGTTAGGATGGTAAGTCTTTCAATCCTTCTTGAATTCTCCAACTTAGTATAGGAATGAGGGATATAAAGGGGTGGTTGCATCTCGAATTGAGAGGCAGACTGAGAAAGGTCAACCCTCAGTTGTTATAAGAAGCAAAGGGTTATGTTCCAAATGTAGGAAAGTGACCACAATGCTAGAACCTGCCTTCTAGTTGGTGGAATTCAAGTAAGAGATAAATAGAAAATTACAACTGATGTTAGAATGAGATGTTAGAGAACACATAACTGAACTTATTTGAATGGTCTGATCAAGAAGCACATGTCAATCAAGCTGTGACTAGTAGACTTGCTCAAGACAGAGAAGTTAGGATGGTAAGTCTTTCAATCCTCCTTGAATTCGGCAACTTAGCATTGTTTGGTGTATAATATCTCAATTCGACAATTTGTAGGCGAACCAAGGAATTGGTGTGTCGCACAATGATTTAGGAAACACATATGTGATCCTAAATGGTGCGAACAGACCGGGAAGGGTGTTGAGAAGTGGCAGGCCTTACAACAACCTTGGCACAGGGTCAACGCCTACGGTGATTGCTGAAGGAGGATCACAACCACCAGCGAGCCTTCCCAGGAGCAGTAGGAGGGTGGTTGTGACCAGAAGTTATGATGTTTCAATCATGTAGTATTACTAGTAGTAGGTGAATGTAATAGGGTTTATTTTGGCTTGGTAGACTGCCTTATATCCAGGGGAAATAATGTCAGATTTCCAAACATTGGATTCATTTTGGACACTAAAAAATGGCAGCCTTTGTTTGTTATGATGTTAATTTAGGAACAATTTCAGAATGTTTGAATGGTTTTTCTGTATGTGAAGATGTGGTTGTTTACTTACTACACGTCTGCCAGAATCTTCGCATACAACCAACATCATTCCTTAACAACATACACCCAACATCATTTTTAACAACATTTTACATTAACTCGAGACATAAGTTACAAAAAAAGTTACATATGCAGACTTAACTTCAATCCTGCAATGGCAATGTGCCTACAAGCAGTTCTACGAAAAGGATCATAACAAAGAAGAAACGAGCATTGGCCAACCTTAGTTTCCCAACCAGCCTAGCATTTTCCTCCCTAATGCTAACTAAATCATCAAGCAAACATTTTTTGGCATGCTTCCTTCGCTCAGCTTTCTCTTTAGCAAGTTTCAAGCTCTCCTTCAAGCCCATAACATGAATCTCCATCAAAGCATTCTGTGTCTTAATGTCTTCGTCCTCTGCCACAATCACATTGGGGCAAGGTGTTTCCTCCTCATCACTATGCGCAGAATAGACAATTTTTTTGGCTCATGACAAAGAACTCAAGATGAAGTGAGCTGGTATATTGTTCCCACACTTCACTATTCGAGAATCCCCTCCCTGGATTGCGTTCAGTCCCGAAAACATAAGTCTTTGCTGGTATATTGCTCCCACACTTCACTATTCGAGAATTGGAAGGATTGGAGTCACAATTGCTTGGCCAAATCTCCTACCGGACATGTTTGAATTGCTTCCACAAAACCCATTCATTATGGAGACCCAAGTAGATCAAAACCTAATTGTTACAACATATATAAAAATAGGAATAGATGAATCACCTCTCAAGAAATGTCTTTTTCGTACCAGGCCATCGCACCACCACTATACTCGCCAAAGTGAATACCACAGTCGCTCCTTGGCGGCGGTGTTACTACCGTCGTCGCTCCGCGTTCCTGAAAACCAATGTCTTTACCACTCTGACCCGTCGGAGGTATCACCGTCTCTCCTATGCTCTCTCCTCGGGCCGACCCAGCTCTCGCAAAGAACGTTCAAAAATAGGGGATGAGCTCCAAAGAAGGGGATTAAAAGTAGGGTTTCTAAAATTGAATAATGACATGTAAGCCTCTGTGGAGTCTATGTAGCCACCACGATTATGCCACGCAAGCTTCGAAAAATGACTTAACGACCGTTTGTCTGGTCAACCGTTATTTATAACGGTCAACGAAATCATCAGGATACAAATGGCACACAACTATCAGACGTTGGGATACAAATGTCAAATTGAATACTTTAGAACACAAATGACACAAAGTTAATAGTTCAGATTTCCTAATAGTATTTGCTCTAAATTTTATAGAGATTGGAGAATTTATGTGGAATGAGTTTAAACTAATATGTGTGGAAGCTGGAGTTATGAGGTAGCTCGCAGCTGCACTCACTCTTTAGTAAAATGGGACTGTCTAGAGAAATAACAGGACCATCATAAACATGATGAGGTGCTCTTTAGAGAATAGTAAAGTTCCTGCAACACTTTTGCCTGAGGAGCTTTAAAATTGTGTTAACAACGTGTGGCTAGAAATCAGAGTCATGGAGTCAAGGGCTGTTGGTACAGGTCGAGATTGTTGGTTGCAGTTAGGTATTTATGTTTTCAGTTTACATCAATAAAATTGGTCAATTCATAAGAGTGATGGCAATTTGAACTCGTTCCGTCCGGTA